ATAAACCATCTTTCCAAGCAGCCTCCACGTCTCCAGTGTCTTCTTCCCCACTTGGAGCCGAACCCAGAAGGACATTTCTTTCATCAGCGCGAACTATAAATACCAGGCCATGTTTAATGCAAGCCAAAATTCAGTTAAGGCAAGGTCGTTGTGTGCAACTAAAGCTAGCACAGGTGCAGTTGCCATTGGGGTTTTGGGCACTTAACCACTGGTGTTCAAAATGGAGGAAAGTTAGATAAATTCATAGAAGAGGAAAGTATCTCAAAATTCCAGTTACTGATGTGGATCAATAGGGGGAAAGTTAATGCACCGATACCCCATTTATTTTAAAAGGGACCTCTGGTCGGTCCACGCCCACCCAGGACCGACAGACGTTCAGCCCTTTTGAACTCTTTAGCCCGCCGCTGAAGTCATTGGTTCCAAGAACGCCTCTTCTCCGCCCCTGCCGTTGTTGCTCACTCGCGGTTGGGCGCTGCCTCAGTTAGCAATCCGTTCAGTTCGTAGGAAGAAGTGGAAGACGACGACGACGACGACGACGACAGGGGATCGGATGGGGCTTCGCTCACCTCATTTAATGTCTTCAAGCTGGTTTAAGAAGTGCTTCTTGAACGGCGAGACGAAGCGCGGAAAAGGCGCTGCGGATCAGCAGCAGCAACCAGCAGAGGAGGGAGGCTCGCAGCAGCCGAAGCCGCCGTCAGCTCCTTTGCAATACAGGCGGCCCAAATTCCTGCGTGGAACTGTTTGCGCGGAGAAGTTGCCTGGGAAGCGACCCATCTGCTGCCCCTCCCGGGACAGGCCTCTCCAGTGGAACACGGGCTATGCCGAGTGAGTATCCCGGGCACCGTAAGGTAGAAGGCTGCTTGACAGAAACAGTTAAGGCGGGGGATGAGGAGGTGCCCCCGTGAGAAGGCTGCCTCTGGGCTTGGTGGCCTCTCTCGGGTGCTACGTTTTCTTTGGGAAGGCTGCAAACTAAATGATGTGCGTGTAGGACTGTGCAAAAACAGCAATGCATCTTATGGCACTTTGAAACGTGCCCTTGCTGCTGTTCTGCTGAAAAACAAGCTTATTAAAGTGGTAGAAAGTCCTATAAAATATTTCAGTTTAATAAGTCTGTTAGTACAACGTTCCAGTCTATACCCGGGATGTTTTTAGTAACTTTTTGTAGCTTTCAGCAACTGTGTTGAAAATAAGAACAAATAAAAGTAAGACAAGAATAAGACAAAAACAAACAAATTTTGTTTGGCTGGGGCATGAACATAGAGCTAAAAAACATCCATATGTGAATAGTGCCAAGGTGAGAAAGGAAAATGTCTCATTGTTTTTTAGCTATTTTCCTAATCATGAGTCTGGAAAATTATCAAAGTTAGTTATATTATAATGGGCTAACAAGCTTTGGTTAACATAGACTTTTTCAGTCTTAGTTTTTCACAACTTTAGAACTTAGACATTACCTTGAAATTCTAAAATATATTAATGTTAAAAGTAGGGACAGAAAGCACTACAGTATATGGGATCATATAAATATCTATCAGTAACTGTTGCCAAGGAGTATTTGTATTTAGGAGCAATTCAAAACCCAAACTGCATTATGATAGCATCTTTTATACAATAATCAGGTAGGCATTGGCAAAACATTATAATAGTTATTGGCAATGATATTGTACCATAGTGTCCATAGAATATCTAGGGTCTTTTGTGCAGAAAATTAGCATGAGGAGAATTTCCAGTTGTATGAGAGTTTTGCAATAACTTTTTATGAAATTAACTGTTAACTTCACCAGTTGTATTTATACTAGTGAAACTTCCTATCATTGCATTTGCCTAAAGAAAATGTGTGTTACTGCTTCCCTGGAACTACATTTGCTTTATCACACAGTTGTCAGTTGTTAAATTAATGGCATTAGTCTAGGTTTGTTGTCAGTTCCTTTTCTGCAAGGATATTTTATGACCACTGGTAGGGGAGACAAGAAACAAAAGAGGAGTTTTGACTTCCCCATTTGTATTGTCAATAACTTCATTATTTGCATTTGAAATCTGATTCTTAAACCATAATTTAAACCTCTTTCTGGGGTTTTCGAGGCAGTATTATGTTCAGCTTTGCCTGGTGTGCCATCTGCTACCTTCTTTGAACCACTATGACCTCAGTATCTCGACCTTTGAAACTTCTCAGTGGGATGATTCTAACATATTTGATTCCAGCTAAATTTATATTCTGTTTTCCTGTCCATGCAACACTTACAGCATCATTACAAATAGACCCCTATTCTCCATGGAGTTACTCTTGAAGATGGGTTGGATATTGCAACTAGCTAATTGCTGCTATTCAATAGTTAGATGATGTGGGAAGTCATACTGCTATATTCATTGCCAGTAAAACTGCTGGACCCAATATGTAAATCTGCCAATCACTTAGCATAAGGGTGAAAATATTACTCTTCCCCAGGGCAAAAGATGAGGAAGAGTTTTCAAAGAGTAAGGACATTTTTTGTTGCTTCAGCTATTTCATC